ATGTTTGGGAGAAAGCTACAAAAAAACATATTGCCATTGTGGATTGAAATGAGACCAAGATGGTTTGAAACAAAAATCCTCAACCTCTCAGCTTCTTACAAGTAGGAAGAGATTGAAAGTTTTTCTTCAAGTCAGGCACATGCTCATGCCTGTAATCTTAGTTACTTAAGAGGCTGAGATCTTAGGATCATAGTTTGAAGTCAGCACAGGGAGGAAAGTTTGTAAGATCAGATCTTATCTTCAATTAGTCTCTCTCTCTCACTCTCTGTCTGTCTGTCTGTCTCTCTCTCTCTCTCTCACACACACACACACACAACTGTGAGGAGCTGAAGAATGAGGCTGCATTCTAGGCCTAGTATAGATCACAGCAATGTTGTTCTGCAAAATGCCTATGAACTGTCCTTCAGGTGGGAGTGTTCCTTCTTACCCTAGTTTTGGCTCCTCAGTGCATGCTGAGTGTTTCTATGTATAGAATATGTATGCAGAAAGCTTGTCTTTTTAGTTCATAAAGAACCATATCCAGAATAGTGATGGACCACAGATCCTGGACTTCATGCCTGAAATTGATTGGGCCAGCTGTTGAAGGTTGGCATGTAGAATGGGAAATGTTGACTCTGTGAGGGCAGGTGGTGGTGGACTATATTATGATTGGAGAAATATTCATTTGTGTGTGTGTGTGTGTGTGTATCTGTGTGCGCAAGCACACCTGTTGGTCCTATGACTTGAACCCAGAGCCTGGGCGCTATCCCTGAGTTTTGTCCTCAAGGCTAGTGCTCTACCACCACTCAAGCCACAGCTCTACTTATATTGCGTTGCTTAATTGGAGGTAAGAGTCTCACAGACTTTCCTGCCCAGATTGTTTTTGAAACTTGATCCTCAGATCTCAGCCTCCTGAATACAGGCTCACACCTGAAATCTATTCTCTTGTTTCTGTAGGTGGAGTATGCTTGCCTACCCTACTGACCACAGCTTGGACTGTGTTACTTGCTTGGGCCAAAGTGAGTGGAATATGAAGGCACACAAGTTCTGAGCCGAGATCTAAAGAAGGCCTGTTTTGTCTGCTTGCCTTCCATATGTCTTCCACCGCTAATCACCTGGAAGTTGGGAGGAGACAACAGTTATGTGGGGGCAGAGCCAAGTTGCTCCAAGCCGAACCCTCTGGTTAACTCCTAGAAGCCAGCCCCACCCCTCAGGACTGTGTGGCCAACCCACATTGGTCAGCTATCCCTCGGAGGAGCCAGATTCACAAGCTGAACCTGGTTGTTGTCATCTGGGATTGATTATTCAGTGCAGCTGGGGTCTGTGAGTGGACACCAAAGAGTTGGCTCTGCTGTACCACCATGCCCAGCCTCTTCATGCTGTGGGTTATCCACACCTAGGCAGTAGCAAAACAGAAGGTGTGAGACTAGGAGATGGGCTTTAAAAGCAGGGAGGAAAGAATGGAGCCAAGCACGCTCCATTCCTCCTTAGGACTTCTCACCAGCCAAGTAACTCCTCTAATGTGGAGGATGGAAGATAGGGCAGGAAGGAAGGAGGAGCAAGGCCAGGGGTGGCCTTTCCCTGACACACATTGAAAACTCAGATTCTCTGCAGAAGAGAAATATGCTAAATTCTGTTTCACTTGGGGGCTTTTTATACTTATTTAAATGGAAAACCCTTCTTCAATCCCCTTGGTTACATGCCACAGAGATAATAGTATCCTTCTTTTCAGGGTATTGGAGCTTGAACTTATGGCCTAGGTGATTGCTGTTCTTAGTTCTTTTGCTAGAGGCTGGTACCTCTACCACTTGAGTTACAGCTCCATTTCCAGCTTTTTGTTGGTTAATTGGAGATAAAAGTCTCAGACTTTCTTCCTTGGCTTGTTTCAATGATTCTCAGACTTCAGCCTCCTGAGTAACTAGTATTATAGGCATGAACCACCAGTGCCTGGCTCCACAGATTTAGTTTTAAGCTGAATGCCTGCTAAGCTGAGGTTCTGCTTCCAGACTTGCAATCTGCCTGTGGACTTTCCATAGAAAGAAGGAAGCTAAGGGGCCTAAGCTGGGAGCTCAGAGGTCTGGCATACCTGGCCTGCAGAAGGTGCCATCTACTCCCTCTAGCTTAGTCCTGGGATCTCTCCCCTTTGTTTCCTGACTCAGTTCCAGAATGTGTACTAATCCTTAGTCCCCTCTGACCTCTGACTATTGTGAGTTTACTGCAGTGGTCCAAGCACTGCAAAGGGTGACTGCTTGCTAAACTGAGAATCTAAATCTACCTACCAGAAGACCTCTTAGTGCTCAGGTTCCTCTTCCTGGATCCTCCCTATGGCTCCATTTAAAGCCAACAGAGCATGTTTACTTGAAAGCAAAATAAACAGTGAAATGGACTCCTTGGGCACATGCAAAGAGGCATTTTGGTGCCAGCGCTCTACACAGGGTCCACTGGATATACGGTCCTTTGCCTCCTCCCCTAAGGAGATGCTCTTGATCTGCTTGGCCAGAGTCATGGTCATGGATTGATGAGAGTTGTGGGGTTGGTCCCACAGACCTTGGAGCAAGAGTGTGGAAGTTTCCCTATGATTGGATCCCTGTCTGTATGTACAAATGTGGAAAGGACTCATGATTGGATAAAAGCTGGGGGAACCTGCACTTGGCCACAGCTGTGAAAGGCACATGCATTTATAACCCAAAGCCTGGTGTCTGATGGGTATTTTCTACTGCATTGTTCCTCCTGGTCTTATTAGAGCAGGTCCTGGCTGCCACCTTCTATCCCTAGCTACCTAGCTGGCAAAGCCTTTCACATTCACTTTCTAGGAGGCCTATACACTCAGGCTCTTCCCTCTGGGTTCCTTTGCCCAAGACTAGTAGATGGGCACTCTGGGATATACTTGCTTGCCCCAATTCTTCCCTTTGCCTGAGCTACAGGACTTACCCACTTAATTCCCATCCTCCAACTCAAATGTGTTTCATTACCAAGGAGTGTGCAGTGTGGCTGACCAGCAGAACAGAGATTCACTGCAAAATGTCAAACCCTGCCTCCCCCTCCCCAGACTGACAAGAAACAAACAGCCAGTAAATGCTTCTGCATTAAACATTTCTTGGCTGAGGCGGGGTAGTCAATTTTGACACTGTGGAGAAAAAAATACAGCCTAATTTCCGTTCAAATGCACCAAATTTACGGCAAGGATTCTCATTAACCACTGTCAAGGGAGAAGCAGATAGACAAGATAAATTATGAAAAAATTACTTTTTTAATGTACAAAAAGGACTTATTTACAAGTTGAGCATGTCATCTCAATTCATAGCATGTAGAAAAAAAGCTAAAAATGTTTTTTTGGCAATATAAATTTGGCTGGACAAGTCACCTACAGTATATTCAGGGAAGATGTTATCTGCACAAAATATATACAGGCAGGGGAATGGCAAGTGCAGTCTTAGGAAGCAAGCTAATACCACCATGGAGCCACAGCCCATGGCCAAGTCCCAGAGTTGTCATTTGGAGTTGGCCTTGGCTCTGGACCTTAACAAGGAGTCTGATGCACTGGAAGGGGCTAGATGAGCAGGTTTGGATCCTGTTTCCAGACTTTGCTTCAAAGTTCCTCCCTAAAGCCAAGGTCACAGTCAGAATGAAGCTCCATCTGAGCAGTGTGGTTGGTCTGGCAAAGGAACACATCTGATATCTGTATATATGTGATGGAGAAGCCGCATTGCTTCACCCTACTGGACATTCAGAAAAAAAATATTCTTGGAGCCAGTTCCAAACTACATTTCCATTTGGGGCTTGGCCACATTGAACAAGGAAACTGAGTAATAATTCCTCAGACTCTAAGAGCCAACCTCTCCACCCTCCCATCCCTACCCTAAACATCATGCACACACATCGTTCTCTGAAAATAATCAGGGAGAACAGCAGAGGTCAGGGTATCAGCCCTGGCTGCATTTCTGGCTTGGTGTGCACTATTGGGCTGTCACTAGCAGCCCAGCATGGCCTGCAGGAGCCTGGACAGGGCTGTAGATTTCATGGTAAGATGGGCAGACTGCTTTGGAAAAACAGGATTGGAAAAACAGTAAACATGCGACTTCCTCTTCCTACTGGAAAGCCTCTGGGGTGGCCTAAGGCTGGGCCCAGGTGCCATCTCACCTCCAGAGGCCTCAGCCAATCCTTCACCCAGAGCAATGCCAGCAGCCAGAGGTATTTAGAAAGTTTCTTTTCAGGAACAGCTACATTGTCCATGCAGGAACACTGTAAACATGGTCAGGAGAGGCCCAGGTAGCTTCTGGGCTTGTCCCAGGTAGTACACTTTTTATTTATTTCCTTTTACTGGGTGCAACTTACATATTTTATTCATTCATAATATATCTGGGCAATTTGCCAGTCCTAAACTATGCTTAAGGGATGGAGATGCCAACTATCCTAAACCTGGCATTAGTATAGTACTTCTGCAGCACCCGCGTGGAATGTTATTCCCTATTCTTCATGGCAAGAGACTGTAGGAACCTCAAGACTCAAGTTTTATAGGAGAATCCTGGCAGCTGGCAATTCCATTTCCTTACAGGTGGCAGAACAACAAGCCCATCTTCTTGGCACAGAATATCCATTATGGTTTCAGTTTCCAACCCAAATGTGGCTCCCCTACCCTCTTTCCACATGTAGTTGAAAAGCCCTTGGCCAACATAATCTCTCATTAGCCAAATGACAGAGGCAAAGAAGCCAAAGCTGAGTGGCCCCATAAACACCCAAGGCTGGCAAGTACTGTGTAAATCAGTTTCTCATTCCTTCTTTTCCTTTCCTGTTGAGACTTTTTTTTTTTTTTTTTTTTAGTATTCTGAAAAGTAGTCCAAAAGACCAGAGAGGATGCCCACAAAACTTCTCTTAAAACATCTGCAGTCTGAACCAGCCATTGGCAAAGATCCTTCAGGCCTACTTAATACTTTATTTTAGGAAAAAGATGAATGGATGAGATCCTATCCTTCCAGGAGGCCACAATCCCCCAGGGTCTGCTCTGCATCAGGGATCGGACCTTAGGTCATCATGTTCAGGAATTTGTTCTCCTCAGCCAGACTGCTGAGCATGGAGCTCATGTCGCCAACGGCCATGTTACTGATGCCTGAGGGGATGGAGGGCAAGGTCAGGGAGTTCCGAGGGGTGGTGAGGCGCGAAGAATTCTGGGAGAGGTTGTGTAGAAGGCTGGGGCTCAGCGCACCGGAGAATAAACTTGAGTGATCACCATCATCCATGATGGCATCAAAGTCAATCTGAGGGGCCTCCAGGAGCTGGGAGTCCACGGTGCTGGACACCTGGTTGACCCCTGGTGAGGGTAAGGGCTGCGGCTGGATGTTGTCTGGGCAGGCTTGTGGCTGTGGGGGTTGGGGCTGAGGGGCTGGGCAGCCTCCGTGGTTCTCTAGTCCTCCATTTTGTTCATACATGTGAATCTGGCCATAATAGTAGAGTGTGTTGTGGTCCTGTGCCCCACCTCTGTCCTGAGGGGGTAGTGATCCCATGGTGCCCACTGCACCCTTGGGTACAGCCTCTGCTGTCTCCTGGTTGGCAGATGTGGTGACCATGGCATGCCCACTGGCCCTGGCATAGGCCATTTGTTGCTGCCCAGCACGTACCCCACGGTGGCGGCCTGCAGGGCTAGGCTCAAGGGGTGGCCGGGGTTGTACTAAACCGAAGCTAGATGGAGCTGCTCCCATCATGCCTTGCTGTGGCTCCATGAAGCCAGGCTGGTGGGAAGACAGAAGGCCCTGGCGGTAGCCTTCCTGACTCGGAGTAGCTGCCAAGTGATGGCTTTGCTGTGGATAGCTCTGGGCTGGGTGAGGTGGTGGCACCCCAGCCAGGGCAGAATTTGGAACTCCCAGTTCCTGGTGGTGACTGCCCATCATGGTTGGGTTGGAGGCAACTTCCATTTGCTGAGGGAGCCCCAGGTGGGCTGGCTTGGCCCCCATGTTGTTGCAGGATGGGGGAAACTGGTTCAGGGTCCCACTGGGGCTGAGCTGGGGGTGGGCTTGGCTGTAGTTGGTCTGAGGGCTCACAGCTGAGCTCAGGCTGAGGCCTTGGCCACCTGTGGCTGGCTGGCGCAGCTGCTGCTGCATGTAATTCACTCTGGGGGCTGAAGAAGCTCCACTAGGGAGCTGAAGGTGTGGCTGGGTGCTGTCCAGGCTCCCAGGACTCAGCTGCAGGCCTTGTGGACTGTAGCTTGGGTACTGGCCAAAGGCAGCCTTCTGCTGCACCACAGCCAGGTTGCCCTGAGGAAAGGGCGGAGGCTTTACCTGGTTGGGCATGGCATCCATCGTACCTGAGCTCACCTCATTCCACTGCACGGGCATGTTGTTTTTATTCAGGCTAGAGGATGCCCCATAGCCCAGCTGGCAGCCTTCCATGCTAGGGACAGAGGGACCCATATTGGAGTCGGCAGCTGCTAGCCTGCGGTGGCCGTGCAGCCCTGGGCTGGGCAGCTTGGGGTTCTCCGGGAAGCTCTGGCTGGGGTACACCTGCCGTGTGCTCTCATCCACGGTGCTGCTGGTGTGTGCCTTGATATACTGTACCACATCATCAGGCAACACCAGATCATCCTCTGCCAGCCCCAGGCCAGACTCAGGCCCTGTGCTGTCCACTCCTGCAGCCATGGCCTCCATCACCACATTCTCGCTGATGCTGGGTGGCCTGGGAGAGTAGGAGCTGTGGATCAGGCTGCTGTTGGTGCTTGGGTGACCCTGTAGGCGGAGCCCCCTCCTCTCGGTGTTGCAGGGGGGCAGTGGACCCGGGTTCACATTGTGGGCGCTGTGAAATCGCTGCACCCGCGGCAGGGTCAGGGCCTCGGAGCGTCGCACTGGGTCACTGGCACGCCGGGCACCGCCTCCTGGCGCTTCATGGGGGAATGCAGGCGCAGCCCCAATGTGGCCATGGCCGTATGCAGGCCCATCACTGCCACGCCGCGGGCCCAGTGAATGCGGGTAGATGCCGGGCAGCGTGCGATCGGGTACATCCAGCATGGCCAGCCTGGTCCGCAGACTCATGCGCTCCAGGCCTGGCAGTGGCGTGGGCGGTGGTCCCCCGGTGGCCGCTGCGTACTTGGCGCGCAGGCTGTACTGCTGGGCTGGTGTGAGGTTGAGCATCCCCGAGCTGCCTCCGCTGCACTGGCTGGCCTCACTCGAGCGTCGTGAGGCATCCGTGGAGATGGGGTCGTAGGAATCAGCTGAGCTGGCGTTGTGTGGACGGCTGGCGCCCAGGGGTGAGGCCTCGCTGGATCGGCGGCTGGAGAAGTACGGGGAGATGCCTGAGGAGCGGCGGCTCACTGTGTAGGCTGAGCTGACAGTGCTGGTGGAGCTGTCCCGACGCTCTTGCAGCTGGCTGAGCATGGTCACCTCGCTGGCAGACAGCTGGGACAGTCGAGGATTGGGCAGCAGCCCTGCTGGCCCGCCATCCACGGTGCCACTGAAGTTTTCCAGGACAGAACCTAGTGGGGGCAGAACACAAAGGTTAGTATCCAAGACGAGGGTCCTATTCTGTGCTTTTTGACCAAGCAAAGGCTGTTGGGGTTGAGTCTCATCAGTTCTGAGTGCAAGAAGGGAAGGAAAGGATAGAAAGTGAAGAAAAGGCACCCATTACCAAGGGTGGGTAAGTGGAAGTCAGGAGGCTGATGACTACTCTTCGCTTCTTCACTGACTGGTTGATCTTAGCTTCATCACTACAGGTTTGGCCCTGAGTTCTCATTACTTGGACCCTCAGTTTCTCTAGCTAGCAGTAGGACTGGGTTATTAATGGGAGGGGGGTGAGTGGCCCAGGAGGGCTCAGACCTTATCTCCTGCATCTCTCAGTCTGGGGCTACTAGCTGGGAGTTTAATAAGCACACTGGGATTCATAGCTGTGGAAGAAAAGCTAGGCCACAGGGACAGGCAAAGCAGCAGTGAGCCCCAGCTGATCTCAGAGATCTCAGGCCTGCCCCCAGTTGAGTCCCTCACATTTCTCTGGTGGTCAGTCACTGGATATGGCCACCTGAGAATAACCTTGGCTGAATCAGCTGCCTTCAACCAAGGAGACACCATAGTGTCTGAATGGGGCTGAGTTCAAGGCTACCTGACCAGTAGTCCTTCAAATGGGGAGGGCAACATGTACTCTTCAAGATGGAGCATCAATGTCTACCCCATGGCTACTGATCCGTGGAGGGCAGCCTGGGGACCAAGTATCCAGTACTCAGCACTATACATGCAGCACTCAAGAGATGCTTGCTGAAGACACCTTCTATCTCAAAGTGCTGGCTAAACACAGTGCTACCACCTCCATGAAGCCTCTTTGCTCTTGCCCAGCTCTTCCTCTTCATAGCTCTGCCCCTAGCTCTGTCTTTGGTGCTACTGGATTTATTCTGCAGTAGAGTGGGACTCTGGAGGCCCAGTCTTCTGAACATGGGCTCTCTTGGAACCAGGATGAAGTAGGTGTCCTCCCTGTGGCCTTCGCTCATCAAATGACTGAGTAGCCAGACAAGGATGGGAATGATGGAGTGAGCATCCATCTGTACTATGGTACAGTTGGAAGAGTGTGGGCTTCAGAGCCACTCAAGACTAGGCTGACTTACACCTGCCCTTGATCTGGATAGGCCACTTTCATCTTTCACGTTCCTTCTCTGTGTAATGAAGAGCTTTCTCATTGTGGACAGCCAATGAGATGCCTGGTGGGAGTTGACCAGCTGGTACAGCCTCAAGCTCTTTCCTACCCCAGCCTGAAGGCTCTGGGTTTCTACTTACCACTTGCTGGGAGGGGAGGCAGCTTGGTGCTCCGGGTGTGTGGAGCCGGGCCGGCCCACGAGCAGGAATCCTTGAGTGACTTGAGTTTCTCCCTCTTGAGCTGCTCGAACCGGTGCATAGTGGTCATGTGTTTGCGTAGCTGCAGGCCACCAGCGGAGGGGGCAGCCAGGGCTGGGGGGTCGCCCCCTGGTGAGGTGTCATCCAACGCTGTCAGGTCTCCCAAGCTCCCGGGCCCGGGCCCCGGCATCTCCACGCCACTGTCATTGTTGGGGACACTGCCCAGAGGAGAGGGCTCACTGCTGCAGGATGATTGGGCTCCGGGGCTGGACTGACACAGCTACAGGGGTGAGGGAGAAGACACAGGCTCAGAGTGTGTTAGATGACACTTGCTCCTTTGTCTACCCCGCAACCTCCTGGGCTCTGCATGCTTGAGCAGGGGGCACTGGTGAAGGAAGGAAGCTATTTGGAAGACGAGCTTATAAGCCATCACCATCTGTCTGTCTGTGTGAGATGGTCAGGTCACTTCCCTTCTCAACTAGGAGACAGAGCTGACCTGGCTTCCCTGTGCCTGACACCTGGAACGTACCCAGTACAGCCTGAAGAGAAGACTCTCATTCCCAACAAACTGATGAGTCCACCGTGAAAAACAACACAGACCTGCTAACTTGGTGCCTTCTATGGGGCAGAGGGCTCTCAACATTAGAGGCAGCTAATTAGGCAGGGAAAGGTTGATCAGGCAGGGAGTGTGAGATCTAGACACCTCCCCCTCCCCCCGCCCCTGAATGGCCACCCCAAATCATCCCTTTCTGAGGGCTGGAGTGGAGTGGAACAGGTTGTAGACAGTACATATGTATAATCATCAATGCCATAGAACCTGGGCTAGACCTTCTGTGGCCTGAGAGCTGAGCCTTGATGATGCTCATCAGGGATGTAGCAGCTTGGGGCACACATGAAGTGTTTCCCCATGAAGGCACAAGCACCAGGGAGACAAGGATCTTCTAGGCCTTGCTTACAATCCTCTTCCCTCTGCTTGATCTTCAAGCTCCTTTGTGGGTTGGTCTGCCTCTCTCCTATAGTTTAGACTCACAGTCCCCTTCTGCTAGGCCCCTCTGCAGCTTTGTTTCCCCTGCTCCCCACAACTTCTAGTCTTTGTTTCCATAAGCCTACCTGCAGTGCCTTGTCACTGACACTCCAGACCCATGGTCCCAGGCCTGGACCCCTGCAGTGATGGGCCAGTCTCCCCCAAGCATCTCGGCCTCCCCCTCACTCACCAAGCCCACCCTCACCCCCCTACCCACCTTCCGCTCACCTCAGTACCGTCTATCCTTAGGGGAGGTACAGTTGGGAAAAAGAGGTGGAAACAAAGAACAGGTGGTTAGAACACAAAGAGCGTAGGCAGAGGGGGGAGGACATAGGGACAAGACAGAGGGTGGGGACCCATAGGGACACTTGAGTGCTGGTTAGAAAGGTAGACACGCAGAGGACACCTTGCATGGGCAGATCAACATGTAGGGGGGAGTCCACCCCCAGCCTCGCCACAGCTGACCAGTAGAAGCTGGGTCAGAGAAAAGAACTCGGACAAGAGGTGCCATGTAAGGCCAAATGAGGTAAAGAGAGAAAAACTGAGTTGGAGTGGGGAGGGGGATCATCTCATCCTTAGAAGAAGGTCCCTAGAACAGACCCACAGCTGGGGCTGAGCTTCTGGACCCTGGGCAGAGCTACAGAATCGCCCTCTGCTAGCGGGGCTGGCCAGCAATGCTTACCCCGGAGCTCTCTGTCTTGATGGCTTTGACATGTAGACAGTCCTCCACGGCCTGGCTGGTGCTACTGGCCTCAGCATTGTCCTCAGATCCACGGCCGCCGGGCTCTGCGCTGGCCTCGTCCCCATTCTCCTTGAGTAGTGGGGCCCGGAGGTGCACGTCATTGCGCTGCTTCTTGGTGACGTGAGCATCTGGGCCATGGACCGTTTTCACGTGCTTCCGGAGGGAGCTGGGGTCTGTGTATCTCTTGGTGCAGCCTGGGATCTTGCAGATGTAGGGTTTCTGGAAAGAGAATTAGGCATGTGTTACTGACAGAGACCCAAGGGCAAAGGTCAAGAATATACCGATGACCCCCCCCCCACCCCGTCCTCCAGAAGCTATCCCATGTCCCCTGCAGACCTTGCTGGCCCAGCTGGCAGGTGCTCTGTTGTAACCATAGCCAGTGCAGACCATGTTTCCATGCAAGTCAGATATATGGTCAAGGGAGCTCTTGCCCAGGAAGCTGGTGGCATGGGTCAGAAAGACCATGCCTTCCAGAATTTCTAGCACTGAAAGCAAGTATCTGAGTTGATTATATCTCAAGAGAGCACCAGTAACTACTCCCCTCTCCCTCCCATTTCTCTGATGAGAAAAGACAGGGTCAGGAGGCAAACACACTTATTACTGTGACCTGGTAACAAGATAAAAACATGGGACCCTGGGATCTTATCCCACTCACATCCTCAGACACTCATGCCCCAATACACATACATCTAACCTACACATGCTTATCTATGCTTACAAACAGATACACTCACCCCTCTGCACATATCTATAGGTACAATGCCCCTCCCACTTCCTCACATCTTTATGCATGCACACATGCATGTATGCATACATACATACACACAGATGAACACACACACCTTCATACCTATACATGTTCATACACACATAGCCTCCAAGGCTGGCTCTAACCCTGAGGACTTCAGAGCCTTTGAAAAGAATTCTCCTTCCTTCCTTCCTTCCTTCCTTCCTTCCTTCCTTCCTTCCTTCCTTCCTTCCTTCCTTCCTCCCTTCCTTTTATCTTCCCTCCCAGTCCTCCTCCCTCCCTTCTTTCCTATCTTCATTTCTTTCTGCCAGTACTAGGGCTTGAACTCAGGGCTTGAGCACTGTCCCTGAGCTTTTTCTCTCAAGGCTAGCACTCTACCACTTGAGCTATAGTTCTTCTAGCATTTCGGTGGTTAATTGGAGATAAGAATTTCATGAACTTTTCCTGCTCCAGCTGGCTCTGAACTGTGACCCTCAGATCTCAGCTTACTGAGTAGCTAGGATTACAGGCATGAGCCACTAGTACCTGGCTCCTTTGAACATTCTTGTACCTGCTGATTAGCATTGGAGCAAAGTCCTTTGGGGCCCACACAGTATCTAAACTGTTAGAAATGCTCTTTCCAAAGTCTGCCCAAGTGACAGTGGTTCTGTGGCTGGACTGGGAATGGGAATGGGGAGAGGCTGCATGGGCTCCTGTCCATTTCCCTCTGGTTCTGGCTTTGGGGAGACACAGGCTGCTCTGAGCCAAGAAAAAAAAATCTTTATTATCATTTTAAAAAACTGAGACTAAGTCTTGAATTCAGTTTCTGATGCTTTACATTCACTGTCAGGCACCCTAACAGCAGAGACTTGGGGGCACTGGTGACGTAGGCTGTTTTGGTCCATTAATAGGGAGCCAATGGCCTCACCAGGCCCAGACAGCACTAGTGGCTGGAAAGGTAACCACTAGCCATTTGATCCTCAGGAGCAGGCTGCTGTTCTGCAGCTGGACCCTAGCTTGTGAGTGACACAGGTACCATGATGTTTTCGGAATGGGACTCCTAGGTCCTAAACAGAGCACCACTTCATGCTGTCTGGCACTGGGGAGTTACTTCATTTCTCTGAATGTCGGAATCCCCATTTGCAGGACAAGCTGTAGAATCCAGCCAACAGCTGGGGGAATGAATAAGGTACAGGGCTTGTGTCATGACACATCAGACATTTAGAGATCAGAACAGACATTCTACTTTGATTTCAGCTCCTTGTGGACCTCGTGGTGGTTATCTGTAGCTATGACAGAGAGTTGGAAACTGAGGCACAGAGATGGTGAATGTGCCACGGGACCTATACACATCCTTTCAGAGAAGAGGTTGTGGCACACAGAGGAAGACTTGCTGTCCAGGCCACTGAGGGCTGGTCTGCTATGTCCAAGGATGTGCAGATGAGGGACGATGTGGGTGGCTGGGAAGCTGGCTGCCAGTTTCTGACAGGTGTCTACAGGCTATGGGAGATACAGTCAGGAGTGCCTTTGTGTACACGCTGTATACATGCCCCACCGCATTACCTCATTGGAGTGGGTGCGGTTCTGGTGCTTGGCGCGGTCAGAGGCGTTGGAAAAGGCCTTGTTGCAGCCCTCATGCTCACACACGTACGGCTTCTCCCCAGTGTGGGATCGCAGGTGTGTCTTCAGGTTCTCCAGGCGAGAGTAGGCCTTTGAGCAGCCCTCAAACTGGAATGAGGTCAGCGGGCCAAAATTGGTCAATGAGAACATCCCAGATCCAACACAAGGGGGCTCCACTGGCCCCCTCGCACCCCTCTCCCCCTTCCCTGATGCTCCCAGCAGCACAGATTTTAACAAAAATAACTTTCCAGAAAACTTGGAAAGGGCTGAAAAGTATAACCATTAACAACATGATCCAAGACCTGATGGAAGAGCTAAAAGTATATGTAAATGCATATATAAATATGGTTGTACATGTTTATTTTGATATAAATAAGAACATTAATACGCGATCAAGCCATCTTTAACCAATGGTCTTAGATGCCATAAAACTACAAGCAATTAAAAAAAACTGGATTCCATCAAAGTTCCACTTTGGTGTCTCAAAGGAACTTTTCAAGAAAACAGATAATTCATTAGAATGAGAGAAATAATTGCAGGTTTTGGATCTACTACTTAGATATATTGAGAACTCTTATAATTTAACAAAATGGTAAGTAACCCAAGTAAAAATATCTGCAAAAGACAGTGAATATACAGTTCTCCAAAGAAGATATACAAATGGCCAATCAACACTTTTATATTCAATATCATTAGTTATTAGGGAAATATTAATCAAAACCACAGGAGATATGATCTCACACTTGCTGAGATGGTTAGAGTAAAACAATTAGGATGTGCTGAAAACCAGACTCTTCTACACACAGCTGATGGGAATAGAAAATGGTGAAGCCTTTTGGGGAAAGTCTTTCAGGTCCTTGATTGTCATAGGATGGAGCAATTCTATTCCTTAGGGATACTACCCAGGAGAAGTGAAAGCATGCTCACACATAGGAACATAGGAATGTTCACAGCAGCATTCATTACTCAAATAGACAAAAAGTGAAAGCAATGCAAACTATCCTTTCTCCACTCATCAATGGAATATTATGCAACCAAGAAGAGAAACTATGGTTTCATGTTACAACAGGGATGGACTTTGAAAACATAAGGAGCCAGTGGTATATATTGTATGATCCCATTTTAATGAAATGTCAGAGGAGGCCAATCAGAGCGACGGAATATAGTTTGGTAACTGGCCAGCAGTGGAGGAGATAATGGAAGATGGGGAGTGACTGCTAATGGGCACAGGGGTCATTCTGGAGCGAAAAGGATTTGGTGGAGGTAACTAGTGGCTATGATGCAGAACTTTGAGCATATGCTAAAATCTATCCAACTGTACCTTTTTTTTCCCCAAAAGGGGTGAATTTTATGACATGTGAATATCTCAGTACAAACACTTGCCAGCAAAGGTAACATTTCTCATTGACTCTTGGACACTGCCAATTTAATAAGCCAGAATGATTTCAGGAATATTACCATGAGAACAAAATACATGTCTCAGGATCTATGGCATGAAGTGCTTCTGATTCTGAGGGTTCAGCTGCGATCATGTTAGTGGGCTGGATCACTTCTGCTTTTGACAAAGGAGCTTTTTTTTTTACTTTTTAAGTCCAAGACCAGGACTTGAACTCAGTACATGCAGCTTTTGCTCATTAGCTAGTGCTTTACAACTGAGTCTTGCCTCCAATCCCCAAAGGAGCAATTTCTGAGTGCCAAAAACTAAAGGTCCCACTGCTAGGCTTCCAAGTTCTCGTGCCTCAGTTAAAGAGACTGAAAGGTTGTTTTTTGTTTGTTTATTTGTTTCTAAATCTTTGAGCTCATTTCTTTTTTTCTTTTTTGCTTCAGTGCTGGGATATAAGTTAGAGTCTCATTCATGCTAAGCAAGTGCTCTACCAATGAGGCACACCTCCTAGCCTCCGTTTAAAAAATTAAGGTGACAAAGGTGACCCATGCTTACTCAAGTCATGAATGACCAGGATACCTCTCTCTAGATGTTACATAGCCAAGGCTCTCTGCTCAGTGTCCCCTGATAAGCCACCTGAGGGGTTTAGCTGTGCCTTGGGGCTCATAATTAAGACACAGCCATGGAGATACTGGCACACTCTTCATGTGGTCAGCTAGTTGCTCACATTTAGGAGAGGGGTTTTTTTTTGGGTGGTGTTACTAAAGTTTAAACTCAGGGCTTTATGCTTGATAGGCTGGTGCTCTACCACTTTAGCCACATTTCCAGCCCTGATTTTTGCTGGCTATTTTTTGAGACAAGGTCTCACATTTTCATTTTTTTCTGCCCAGACTGGCCTTGAACCTCCATCTTTTCACTTGAGCCTCCCATGTACGTGCATGAGTCACTAGTGCCTGCATCAAAGAGATTTTTGAGGTTCAGGATAGCAGTAGATGAGAGGTAACTAGGATCTAAGACGGGCAGAAAGCTGGGGTTTGAATAGGGCAGATGACCCACTAGCAAGTCCTGTCCTCGTACCCAGCCACGTGGGGCCCTGTGGCTCACCGTGCACTTGTGTGGCTTCTCGCCTGTGTGTCGCCGCATGTGGACCACCAGCATGTACTGCGCCTTAAATGGCTTCTGCTCCCTCGTGCAGGCCTGCCAGCGGCACACGAACTCCTTCTTCTCCCCGTGGATGTGCTCGTTGTTGATGTGCTGCCGTGACAAGCCCCAGGGTGAGATCAGCCGCCTGGCCTCCGTGCCCACCCCCTTGGAATTGCATTGCCCACCCACTGTGTACACACCACTGCCCAGAGGCCTACTCTCAGCTGACCATGGAACCATTCCAGAGACCTCTTTCTATTCTGCCTCTCCAGAAGACCTCACCTGTAGTAAATGCATTTGTTGCCCTCCTGGTCTTTGCTCCTGTGTGGGACCAGTCATTCTACTTGACCTTCGGTCATTATGTGAGGACCTTCACTGTCCATTCTACCCAGACCACCTCTGTGTCAGGTCAGGCCTGCTCACGGATCATCATCTGTGGCCATTAAAGAAAGCACTGTGGTGAGTCTGTGTCCCGTCTCTATCACTTGGTCATCTGAGTGACCATGTACCCTGCTCACCCCAGGCTGGGCTCAGGGGTCTGGTCCATGGGGACTTATTGATGTTCCTGAGCTACAAAACATACTTAAGGATGGCAAGGCAGACATATATATGCCCCTATGCTTCAGAGATTTTTCCATGAGATATTTTACTTTGATAGAAAAACAGTGACAGAGCTGCTGGCCACACTGGAAATCTTCAAAGGTATTCTGAGATCTGGGCATCAGGCATTGGCAGAATTTACCCCAGAAGACAAAAAGCCTTGGTATTGTGGCCTGAGCCACACCCCCAACTGACATGTGTACAGACAGCACCCTGGGAGCAAGGAAAATCTTTCATGCTTTGAACTTCTAGAGAAATCTTCTCCTATTAGCCTCACGTTCCATTTTTAAAGCCTTTCAAATGATAAAAATGCTTCCTGACAATGCCTTTCATTTTTCCTTATTGGTTTACTTAGTGACAAATTGCTAATAATTGACGGGGGCTCCAGCTCACCCGGGTGCCTGCACCATCCATCTTCCCAGGGAACTGGGCCAGACACAGCTCAGTAAGATCCTCTTCTGTCTTGTAAAGCAGTCTGCTCTTTCCAGGTGGGGTGGAGGTGACCGTGTACGGCCACAGGGATAGGCCTGCAGAACTGTCACTCAGAGGACTTAGGTATTGTTTGTTTGCTTGCTTTCTGGTAGTGCTGAGCATCAAACCCAGGGCTTTGTGCATGCATGGTAGGGGAGTACCCTACCACTCACCTACATCCCCGTCCTGCACACCTTTTCTTTTTCTTTTTTTTTATAGTGGTACTGGGCTTGAACTCAGGGCCTGAGCACTATCCCTTTGCTTTTTTGCTCAAGGCTGGTATTCCTCCATTTGAGACATGGCTTTTCTGGTTTCTTTTTTTTTTGTTTGTTTGTTTTTTGTCATGGGGCTTGAACTCTGGGCCTGGGCGCTGTCCTTAAACTCTTCAGCTCAAGGCTAGTGCTCTACCAACTTGAGCCACAGTGCCACTTCGGGTTTTCTGAGTGGTTTATTGGAGATAAGCGTCTCACGGACTTTCCTGACTGGGCTGGCTCTGAAACACAATCCTCAGATCTCAGCCTCCTGAGTAGCTAGGATTACAGGCGTAATTACAGCAGCATTTGTTTTTAATATTCTCTTCCTGGCTTCACTTCACATGGCCTGTTCCCTCATTTTCTTTTATGCTCTGTACTCTATATTTAGGAGTCTACTAATAGAAATGGTCCAGGTTTCTCCTGAGGCTTCTTCTCGGGTTTCTCTTGAGGCTTCCTCTCCAGTCTCTTTTCTTTTTCTTCTTCTTCTTTTTGGGGGTCCCGTTGTGGGGCCTGAATTCTGGGCCTGGCCACTGTCCCTCAGCTCTTCAGCTCAAGGCTAGCGCTCTACCACTTGAGCCACAGAGCCACTTCCGGCTTTTTTCTTTTTGCTTATGTGGTGCTGAGGAATTGAACCCAGGGCCTCAGGCATGGAAGGCAAGCCACTGAGCCACCTTCCCAGCCCTCTTTTCTTCTTGTTCCTCTTCATCTTCCTCCTCTTCCTTTTTCTCCTCTCCCCCTCATCCTCATATTCTTTTTCAAATGACATTATTGGGGTTTAATATCAGAGTCTTGTCCTTCACAGATAGGTGCTCTACCACTGAGCCATACCTCCAGCCCTTTTTCAGTTGATTATTTTTGATATAATGCCTACCTTTATACCAGGGTTAGCTTGGACTATGGTTTTCCTATTTATACTTCCTCACGTGGCTGAGATGACAGATATATTGCCTAATCACTGATCTAGATGGAGTTCTTTGAACTTTTTCCCAAGCTAGCCTTGGACTGTTATCCTCTAGATCTCTGCCTCTCAAGCAGTTAGGCTTGAACCACAGTGCCCAACTTCTAGCTCCTTCTTTACAGCATAAGCTCAGGAAGATCAGGTGCAACAGGAGCTCCATGCCTCCCCAGCAGGATGAGACCAGAGGCTTACATGCACCAGCTGCTCCTGTGTGTCATACTCCTTGGTGCAGTCTGCCCAGTGGCAATTGGTCTCATAGATGACCACCTCAGCCTCCTGCTTGCAGTCATCTCTGTCTAGGTCTTCCTTGAGGTCAGCCAGTTGCTCCTGGGGGAGAAGACCACACCTGTATGAGTAGGTCCAGACAGGGAGCCCTGAGGACAAGGTGCTAATAGCCCCATATAGTCTATGCCAAGGATCCAGGAGCAAGGAGAGTCAGTGCATTTTCTGCCAAGGGAAAACATGTGCATGCACACAGGACACAGAAACCACCTCCTTGTGATAAAATGGCTTCCCACACTAGGAGGAAAGGTGGGCTCTGTGTAGCCTACCTGGGGTGAAGGGCGATCATGGGCTTCCTAGATTCTCAGAGCCAACGCTTGCCTCTGCACTGCCATTAGGCATGTGTATCTTCCCTGGATATGTGCTAGCCTCATCAATTTCAGCGGCCCCTGATGATGGCCAGCATTGTGGAGACCATGCATCATGCTGAGATCAGTTGTGGTGTCAGCAAGGGGAGAAGAATTTGTCACCAACCCCTCTGTTTGCTTGACAATAACAGGACCCAATATATCATGAAAATTAAGTGCCCAAAGCATGCCTCGTTGAAAGATGGTCCAGTACATGTGGGGAGTCAGGGATAGGAGGTCCCGAGCATCCTTGGTAGTTATGCTGGGGAGTCTGCAGTAACAGATAGAGCTATGCCCCTGTGAAGGTTGGTGGGCAGGAGGCTTGCTTCTGAATCAGCAGAACTTATACTCTTGGCATGACAGGGAGGAGGGCCTGCCTGCAGCCATCTTGGGGAATAGCAGGGTTTTCAAAGGGATATACACAATGCTCTCAGATACAAGACAGGCTGGTGCCGGGCTCTGTGTGTGTGTGCGTGCGCGCGTGTGTGTGTGTGTGTGTGCGCGCGCGCTCTCGCATGCGCACGCTTCTAAATGCTATCTCTTAGTTTTTTCTACACATGGCTGATGCTCTATCACTTATGCCATACCTCCACTTCAGGTCCTTTGGTGGATAAATAGGGATAAGAGTCTCAAGTACTTTCCTGCCCAGGCTGGCTTTAAATTTTGATCCTCAGATCTCAGCCTCCTGAGTAGGTAGGATTATAGGCTCTTGTTCTCCTTACTCTTTTTATTTTATTTTGTTTTTATTTTTGGTGGTACTGGGGTTTGAACTCATGACTCTGTGGTTGTTAGGCAGGTCTTTACCACTTAAACCATATCTTATCCCATGTTTCTCACTCTCCCTTCAGGAATCACCCTCCACTCTTGCCCAAAGGAACTCAGGAGCTAGGCTGAATATCTGGTAGCTTGAGTTCCCCTACCCGTAAGGACCGGTGGCAATGGAAATGTGGTAGGGGCTGAAGTTCCAGGACAGCAGGTAAACTTGAGGGCTTGAGCCATTCAGGGCACATGAGCAACTCAGTTCAACCAGGCTTATGTTATTCAAGGCTGATATAGGTGAGGATATGACAACACACCAAGATAACACAGAAGAGAAGGTAAAGTTTGTTCATTCACCCATTCACTTACTCACTCATTCATTCAGCCAGCACATGTTTGATGAGCATGCCACATATATACATATATATACAAATATGTGCATATATACATATATGCATATATAAGTATATATGGTGCTGGGGACACAGCATTAAGAAGGTCACAGCCATGTGCCCACCTTGCCCACGCCACCCTATGATCCATCCATTTATGCATGTGTGCAGCCTTCCTTCTTTCCTTCTTCTCTCCCTTTCTTCTTCCCTCTGTCTTTCCTCTCTTACCTTTCTTGCTTCCTCTTTTTTTCCATTCTTCTCTCCTTCCCTTACTTCCTCCCTCCCTCCATTTACCACCAAGGTTACAGCCCAAATGGCAGTCAAATGAAGAGATCTGGCCTGGTCCTACACAGGGACAGTGAGGGTGGCCAGCAGGTTACCTGGGTCAGTCCTAGTGGAGAGGCCGGCCGCAGACCCTCGGTCTCAGTCTTGACTTTGCTGCGCTTGTGTATAGTGATAGGATTCACGGTGCTGCTCACAGCTGACTCGCTGCTCTGCTTGTTCTGGGTGAGGGCACAGAAAGCAGTCTGTTATATAGATGCAGAGTAATGACACTCAAAATTCTACCTCTGTCTCCACATAGCCTGCCTAGTGCATCTCTGTGTTTGAAGCATGAGAAACTGAGTCACCCCAGCCAGGGCCTGCCAGGTATACCTCAATTGCCATTACCAGTCTTCATGAAGCTGCTGCCTCCACCTCAGGACCTCAGGAAATAGAAGACCCACCCAGGCACTCTTGGAGCCTGTCCCAAGGATGCTTAACTTCTGAGCATTCCAGAGTAGAAACAGCCAGTCCAGGGGCAGAAGGGCTAGGGGCTGTAGTTTCAGGTGACCCTTAAAAAGCTGAAAGCAAGTATCTGAGAGGATGCTGGGGGGGCACCCTGGGGCCCTGGGATATAGGAAGGATATTCTGCAGGCATCTTGCCATCTTCCCCAAGACATGGCCACATCCACTTCCCACTTCCATGCACATGCCACTTGCCAGGGGGTGGCTTGAGATAGCTGCTTCCCTCAAGGATTCACATTGCATTATCTACAGTCTGAGGCTCTCAGGGGCTGTATGATTACTGGAGCTTGTTTGGCTGCACAGTGAGCATCTTGGGTAGTAGGGCCCCATCTGCATATGAACTAGCTCAGGCCAAGAGAGGTAAACAGCTATTTTTCAGCAAGCCAAGACCCAAACAGAATCTGAATCTTATCTATCTTTGGGCATCTGTGTCGCACTGTGTTAGGATGCACAGGCATGCCGAAGGCCCATTGGAAAGTTGAATAAGATGGTGTGGAAAGGCCTGTGGGAAGCCCTTCTCTAATAGGAATCTGCATTCATATGCTCATTTCTATATTGTGCACTAGGTCCTTACATGGTGCCACACCCCATGTGTTAGAGTGTTTCTCCATCTACTTATTATGCTGATGGGCAGGAAAAAGCAGACCTGAGATGCTGGGGAAACTTGTCATAGTCCCAGCCCAGGGCTCCTGGTGAGCAACTTTTTGTCAAGTACCAGCAGCTAAAATCAACCCACCAGCCAGGCTTGAGCCGAGTCCTCCATCATGTCTCAGCAGTGAACAGCCCCGATGACCGTCTGATGCCATGTGATAGTCCCCACCCCCCTGCTCCCTGTGTCCACCTACCTGGCTGGTGTCACTCAGGCAGTTGCTGCTGCTGCTATTGAGCTGAGTGGGTGCAGCATTGATGGAGGTAAGAGCCATAGGCTGCTGGGCCAGGAAGGTAGGTGAGGGCTGGATCAGGGGTGGCGTGTGTCCAAAGGCTGAGCCCAGGCTTCGCTGCTGATGGAGGATCTGCTGGTAGGCCACGGGGTTGATGGGGTGGGGGAAAGTGAAGGCTGGGCTGCAATGGAGAGCAGAGGGAGGGTGTGCGTGGGTCTCAGGCTGGTATTTCCTGGGCAGAGAGGACGCCATCCAAACAAGGTGGGCATTGTGCTATAAATGCACCATTACCATGGCTTTTCCTCACTCAGGAACCCGCAGTGGCCTCCCCTTTCAGCTTAGCTGCTTCTCCACTGGTAGGCTGGTCCCATCTCAGCCCTACACCTGGCCTCTCCACTGCTCTGACACCCATGATGTATTTCTGAATCATTGCTGTCTGCTTATCTGAGCCCCATTTGGCTTTGGAAGCTGGTTCTGATGTTCCCTTGTCCAGATCCGGAGTGTCTTTCCTGCTCACTCTGATCCCCTCTTTCCATAACAGGAGACAGAATGCTTGCTGGTCACCTGGACCATATCATGGAAGACCATGTGGCTTCTTCCTGCTCCCTTCAGCAGCACTGGGGTGGGAACTGGGTCTGTGTTCAAGGACATTTAAATGGTCAACAGCCTTGCAGGCTTCTGCTCTGGGTGAAAGGTTCTCTAGGAGCTGTACAGACATCCTCACAATACAGAGGCTCCAATGGTGTGACAGGAGCAAGGAGGAAGCCACAAAGGTCCCCTGGGAGACCCACAGCTAAGCCAGTCCAAACTTCTAACCCACAGGTAATATGTGCTAATTGTTTTAAAACATTCTGTTGGAGTGACTTGTGCAGGAAAAGATAATTGATATGCTTGTTATTCCTTCTATCTCCCCATTCTGGCCCAACTCTCCCAGGATTCCTAGCTACCCTAGCCTCTCCTGGAGCATCATTAAGTTTGAGCATGCAAGTTTCAGTCAAATTGGTGGGGATCTGAGTCTCAGAACAGTCATGGGTTGCAGAGGGGAGAGGAACAGCTCTGACGTGCTTTCATGCAGATGCAGCCATGGTGCGCCACAGCCATAGCAATGCCAACAAGAACTGCTTAGGACATGGGTCATATTTGGTGTGGCCTCCTATATAGTCAGCAGCTGTCTATCATAAGCAGTGAAATACTAAGAAAGCCTTCTTTGAACTCAAACATCTCTGATGTCACTGGGTCACTGTTGGTGACAAAGCCTAATACAGGAAGTGGTACTCCTGGGTAGGCACACTTCCAACATATCATAGTGATAAAATTGCTAAGTGTGCTTAGTCGCAAATATGGCAAATCCTACCTTTTTCTCCTTAGCTGACAGCGACAACTGAAAATCTAGACCCTTCCCACATGGCCCCTAGTTCTCAACTTCCTGCCTGCAGGTGGGGCTCACCTCAGGGCACCTGCCGACAGGTGTCCGTAAGAGCCGCTGGCAGCTGAGCTGCTGCGTGAGTTGTTGATGTAAGCCACCAGGGAGTTGGGTGAGGTCCGGATCATGCGCTGCAGGTCGAGGCTGGCATCTGAGAGTGGGGAGATGGAGAGCGCACGCTTGCGGCTCAGGCGGGGTGTCACCCGAGGGCTGGAGAATCGTGACACTGTGGGACAACCAACAAAAAGCACATCAGTGTTACCTGTCTTGGGGGGGGCAGGTGATGGAGCAGGTAAGGGGGAGTAGGGATAGGTAAGTAGGGGACAGGAAAGCCTGCTTGAATGGTGTCATGAAAATGGAAACTCTGCTGACTTTCTAAATGAGCTCTTGAATGTGGGAAGTAATCTTGTTCAGACTCAGTTGACTCATCTGTAAGATGGTACAGTTCAGCACACAAAATGGTATTTGGGAAGTACAGTGGGGTGTTAATGAGTAAATATAAGCCTTGGGCACATGTGAGTGTCTTGACCCTTAGACACAGAGGCCAGGGTACAATTCAGCAATGCGTAAAGAATGGCAGTGATGTGCATGAAGCAGGAGTGGCCTGGAAGGTTCTGCAAACTACACCCACTTGGGAAGCCAGCCCCAGGCCAAAAACTGGCTTGGCCACTGCCTGTAAGGGCTCTGGTCCTTCCACACCCACCACAAGGCCAGCCATTGCTATGCTTTGGATCTGGCATGTGTTAGAGACTTGATACCTAGCTTGGCACTATAGTGAGGTGGTAGAACCTTTAAGATTTAGGGCTTAGTGGGAAGACTTTAGGTCATTGGGGATGTGTGTCCAAAGAGTATCATGGAAACTCAGCTACTTCTTCCTCTCTTTTACTTCTGAAATGTGATATGAGCAGTTTTGCTCTATCCATGCTCCCACCACAATGTCCTGCTTTGCCACAGGTCTAAAAAACGACAGGGCCAACAAAAACCAGAACCTCCAAGGTCATGGACAAACTGATCTTTGAAAAGTACTCAGTTAAGAAAGTGAGCTAGAGTATTCTTCTTTCCTCTACATGTTCTTTCTTGTCATTATAAGCTCTACTTTTTGCTGTCTATTCCATTGGGCTCTGGGGGCTGGGGCTTACAGAACTCTTAGCAAGCAGAGGTTTGACTGTGTCTTCCAAAAGCTGATCGACTAGAAACTTTACCCCAAGTGCACTCGTTAGGGGCGTCTGGACATGGGCTTTTGGGAGGATATTATAGTTAGATGAGGTTATAAGAATTGGTGTGGGGCTTTATGAAAAGGAGACCTAGCTAGCATACTTCTTCTGTCTCTCCATGTGACAACTTCTCCCATGTTGTCATAGAAAACAGACCCTGCTAAGATGCTAGTGCCATGAACTTGGGCTGCCTAATCTTCACAGCCATGAGCTAAGAAAATCTCTATTCTTTATCAGTTTCCTAGACTGCAGTATTTTGCTATAGTAATAGCAAATGGCTTAAGGCAGGTGGGTATATAGAAGGTGATCCGTAGATGCCTCTGGAGACACTGGTGGGGGCGGGAACATAGTCAGACCACTCCTTTCTGTCTTAGCAGGAAGGATCCTAGCTCATATGCCTAAGGACAGGAGGAGGCACAGGGAAAGACAGAGCAGGCTTACTCCTTGCCTTTACAGAGGCCAGGATGACACCATGACCACCTATTCTGAGGGAGGATGCAGGCGGCAAGCAGCCCCCTCCCAGCTGGTCAGCATCTCTGGCCAGTGCATGTCAGTCACAACCTAGTGACATGTAGTCCCACTGCGTTAACAGCAATCACCATCCTGCCATGTCATCATCCTTACCAAACAGGTAAGGAAATTAGTGTTGGGAGGGCAGTGACTTTGCTCAAGGGGATTTGAACCTGGATTCAAAGGAACCCTGCTGTGTGGATTATCTGGGAACTCTATGGCCATATCCTCTATCCTCAGAGAGACTGGGTAAGGACCAGGCCTAGAAAGATGCTCTGCTTACAAATAACTTTAACCTCCAGCTTTCAGGGCTCTGAATGGTGAACTTGCTATAGCCATTTGCCTGTTCAGCCTCCCCTCCTGTCTGAAAAATGGCTCCAAGTCACCCCATCTGTATCTCCTCTACTCTACTCCTGCTCCATCCTACGAGCTCTTCCTTCAGTGTGGGATCTTCAGCTCCTCAGCACTCACCCAGTGTAGGACAGAGGATTCTGGTATCAGCCCCGCCCCCCATCTCCTCTGCCCCAGCCCCCATCTCCTCTGCACAGCTGAGCTTGCTCAGGTAGTTCCAGAATGGAACCCTTCTTTAAATCCCTTTTCTCTCCAGCTGGAGGCCCAGCCTGGCCCTGTGCTTGCTGGGATATCATTTGAGGGCCCCTAGATAAACTGCTGTCTGTCCAATCTACATTCCTTAGTTTTGGCCAAGATAGCTTTTTAACTTAAAAATCAGATCATGTTCCCGCCTTCCCCTCAAATTTCCCCAAGCTCCCCTCTGCTATTATAATGGGGGCTCACAGCTGGGCTTTATCTTGCCCCTCTGGTCTCCTTCTGCTCCCTCCTACACAGGGTCTATGCATGTGTGGCTTTCTCTGTGTACCAGCTGTGTTCTTACTAAACGGTCACCTCTTCCAGGAAGTCTTTCCTTTCCTCCTCAAGCTGGGCGATGGCTCCTATGGTCAGACCTATCTTTCCACAAAGGGTCGTAGTAGTGAGCCAACACTCTTATGGTTATCTGCTGGCTCTCTTCCTCTTCCTCTCCCTCTCTCCCTCTCTCGGTCTGTCTTTCTCTCTCAGGCATTAGAAGCTTAAGTCCTTCTCCCCTTAGCATTGTATCCCTGATGTTCAAGCCATGGAAAGGCCATGTGGTGACCAAACATCACCGCCATGACATCACGAGGGACAGCAGAGCTACAGCCCTGACGGAATGTCTCCTTAGTAGGTACCAGGGCCTGGATTGTGTCAAATAATTTCATCAGCTCAGCTGCCCCATGGTGGATGTTCTCCATCTTTTACAGAAGGCAAAGGTATGGGGGAGGCTCATCAGTGTGCTTAGGACACACAGCCCATGGAAGAGAAGACCGGGGTCATGAGGCTGGCACATGGATGCCAGGATCATGTGCCACTGTGGCTACACCCGGGGCAGGACCCAGAAGAAAAGAAAAGGTATAACTCAGCAGTTGACAGAGACACACAGAGAGCTTGCTAGCTGGCCACCTCTGTCCCTTAATGGCATTTTTAGAGCTGATTAACTTAGCCTTCTTGAGCCTCTCTTTCCTGATCTCTACAGTGAGGTCATGTGGTTTAACTTGGCAGGTTGTAATGATACACTGTAACTCCAGGTACAGGGCTTACAACCAGTGACATTCTAGAGGGAAGAGGCAGAGTCACAACTTCCTTAGTGCTGAGAAGCCTATTTTGATGGACAGTGTGAATCTACAGTCAATGAGGAAGGAAAGTAAGGCAATTCTAGAAAGGACAGTCAGGCCATGTGGCCATCCAGTTGCCACACACATCCACCCATCGGCTTCCATCCAGGATTCTCTTAAGCTTCTTGGTTCTTATTTCCTGAGTGTGCTGGTCATTCCTTACTTCAAAGCCAGCTGCAAAAGTCAATCCTCCTGAAGACCAATTGCTTACAAGTCACAAGGAGGGAAATAGAAGACACAAAAAATCTAACATTTACTAAAGGAAGAATACACACATCTTGTCATATATATATATATGTATATGTATATGTGTATATATATATATATATATATATATATTTACTGCTAACACTCTGATTACCACCCTCTTGGGCACCCCTAACAAGAGGAAACAGGCCAAATCTGACAGTGATAGTCATCTCTGTTATTCCCACCCCTCAAGGGAAATATGTGTATTAATGTGCCTCTTCCCTTGATAAATTACTAAATAGGAAGAAAAGCCTGGCATTCATTTCCCACGGTCTTGCCTATGATTTATAGCTTGGGGCTGGCAGAGCCACAGCGTCCATTCATCTGTGGAAGAGCTTGTTCTAATTCGGGTCTGTCACTAGGAGACAGGCCACCTGCTGTCCTCACCTGGCTAGAAGCCTAACATAGCCTGTTCCTGTCCCCACCTGTCTCTGGCTTTGTGTGTGTGTGTGTGTGTGTGCACGTGCATGGTAGTACTAGGGCTGGCACTCTTATTACTTGGCTTTTTTAATTAATTGGAGTCTCATGGACATCTATGCCCAGGTTGGCTTTGATCCATGATCCTCAGATCTCAGCCTCCTGAGTAGCTAGGATTATAGATCTGAGTCCCTATCACCCAGCCAATACCTGTTTCTTTCTTTTGCTCAGTCCAGTTTGCTCATTCATCCACCTGCCTCTTATGCAGCACTGGGGCATGCTAGGAGGACCCAAGGCTCTGCCCTCATAGAATTCACTGTCTAGGTGAGAGATGAAGTCAGTGCCCAGAGCCCCTGGATATAGTCAGCCTAGTGCTGTCTCTGGAGCAATGGGAAGGGCAGAAGGTACAAGGGCTGGCCCTTGGTCCTGAAGGCCAGGCCCTGACCTCTTCTCACCTCTGTGGCCTGGGGCTTTGGTCAAGCAACCGACTGTCTCAGAGCTAGTTCACTGCATGGAAGATGGGCTGGAGAGCCCACCTTGGGGCTGCTGTGAGCTGAGGAGCATTAACATGTCACTCAAAGCTGGGATGGGCTTCTGTGGCATTAGGTTGGGCACTTTCCCCAGGGCCTGCAGACTGAGAGGCAGCTCTATCCCGTGCAAGGACCCTGGAGCCTTGTCTGTACCCAGTGCCATCCTCAGCAGGGGGCTGGGATGTCCTTTCCATGGGGACAACAGGACACAGATTTGCAGCAGTGATGGAGGGCCCACCATCTCCAATGGCCAGGGAGCACCCTTGCATGGCCCAATCTTGTCAGGTCTTCTCTGGACTCATGGAATGCATACTCTGAAGAATCCAGCTGCAGAACCCCAAGTGCTCTCCACATGGCCATCCATAGCGTATCTAATCAGGGAGTAGAGGCAGCACAGACCGCAGAAAGAGAGGCTCCGGTTAGGGCTCTATAATGATTCCTAGTTACATGATGGGGGCAGGGCAGAGAAGTGGCTTTGCATGTTGATGTGTGCAGGTTTATCAGATAGCTCATACACACCACCCAGTGCAGGCTTGTATTCAGCAGCCTAACCTCCTTGGCCTCAGTCTCCCTCTCTGTCCCAGGCTGAGCCTGGAGTCTCAGCCTCTGACAGCCTCTCCCTTGGCAGGTCCTGCCTCTCTGTGCTGTGATCAATGTAACTTGTTTCTGGATGCTCCCTCCCACCGGATTCACAGGCAGCATAAAGAACGAGTGTCAGAATGGAGGTGACATCCAAGTCAAATTAGTGTCAATATGACAATAAAATACACTGCTCAGAGGAAATATGGGCTGTAAACAGTATTTCAATCGGAAACATTTCAATCTTCTCAATGGGGCGCAGGTGGGGGAGGCAGGATGTGGCGGCTGCAGAGCTGTGGTTAAATCACCAATATTTAACACTGTAAGGCAAGAAGGTGCTGCATTAGGGCCCTGGTGACAAAGAGTGAATTGTCACTACCAGAGGGGTGACTTTGACTTGTGTGTGTGTGTGGATGTGTGCGCGTGCATGCGTGCACACGTGCTGGTCCTGGGGTTTCAACTCAGGTGTCTCTGAGCTTTCTTGCTCAAGGCTAGCACTCTACTGCTTGAGCCAGAGCTCTACTTCCTTGCCTTTGGGTCATAATTAGAGAGAAGAGTTTCACAAACTTTCTTACCTGGGCTGGCTTTGAACTACAATCCTCAGAGCTCAGCTTCCCTAATAGCTAGGATTATGGGCATGAGCCACGGGTGCTGGGCAAACTTGGCTTTCTCAGCTGGTCTGTGACCTTGCTGTGTGGCTTTGCTCCCTATATGTCAGAACACCAAAGGACCAAAGGAGAAGTTGGGAAGTCCCCGAAGCCACGGAACAGCCTGGTCCTGCTTCAATTCTGACCCTCCAGGAAGATGGGCTCTGCATCTGGCCTCCAGTACCCTCTTAGAGGCCAGGCTCCCCTCAGTCTTTTTGGTTTGCTACAGGGTTTTCCACTAGTAAGGTGTGTCTCCCCAGGTGAGATGATCACAGGTTCCATGGAGATGGAGACAAAGACTGAGATCCTCCTCAGACACAGTCAAGTTCTCTATTCCAGGAAGAGATAGAAAGCTCCAGTTTAAGATCTATTTATTTATTTAACCCTAAAAGGTGAGTCAATTAAAAATATTAAATACGCAGCTACTCAGAGGACACATGATTTGGTCAAAATTATGCTGTGGTTGTACATGAGTGGGCTGGGCTGAGAGATCACCAGGCTTCCTCCTGCCCAGGCTGCCTCTGAGTCTGGCACACATCCCACCTCACACCTCCATGCCACATGCTAAACCTCTCCCTGCAGTGTTCCCTCCTTTCAGGACATGAATAAGTGTACCAAGACAGGAACCTGCCACGGGTGCAGGTAGGTAAGGACAGGCATTCTATGTTTCAACCAGGGGCTTCCACAGGCCAACACCCCTGCAGTGCAAGGGGGGACTGGTGTATTGGGTCCTGGTACCTTAGAACCAGGCCTGGCAGGCACATAGGTGCCAAATAAGTGTGCGTGCGTATGTGTGTGTGTGTGTGTGTGTGTGTGTATGTGAGAGAGAGAGAGAGAGAGAGAGAGAGAAAGAGAGAGAAAGAGAAAGAGAGAGAAAGAGAGAGAAAAAGAGAGAGAGAGAGAGAGACAGACAGACAGGAAGACACTATCTCCTAAACTCCCTATCATCTCTCAGGTCCCTGGCTCCTGTAGAGTTCATATATTCTTTAAACAGGAACTTGAATATATAGTGGTTCATGCTTACAATTCTAGTTATCCAGATGTGTGGGTTATAGTGCAAAGGCAGCCTGGAAACTTTTATCTCCAATTAACTAGAAAAAAGATGGAAGTAGAGCTATGGCTCAAGTAGTAGAGTGCCAGCCTTGAGCAAAAAAGCCAAGGGAGAGTAAGAGGTCCTGAGTTCAACCCTAGTGTTGGCACAAATAAAATAAAAATCAAATAAAGGTGGCTTGCTAGTATGAATTCACAAGTCCTACCGAGACACCTAGGACCCCTCCACAGGTGGTACCCAGAGCCACACTGCTAGTGCCATATGACAACCTGCAAGATTTCCTCTGTAAGTATGCCGAGGACAAAGAAACTCGATGGAAAGAGCCACTGGCACATGTCACTGCATGGACTGAAGATTCCCCAATGGGAGGAGCAGGGTGATTGCAGGAAATTTAGGGACTAACAAGGTCTACCCGGCCCCCATGGTTCAAAGGAGGGGAGGGGAGGGGCTGGGGATTCAGGCATGCTCCCTTAGACTCAGTGGAATGACACATTCCTCCCCCTCCCCCGCCCCCCCACTCCGGCCCGGTACTAAAGCTGAGCCAAAGTGCCTAAAACATTTTAAAATGATTTTGGGGCACAGCTCTGTGGTACAGCATGTGCTCAGCAGGTGTGAGACTCTGGATTTAATCCTCAGTGCGAAAGTAAACTTGCTTGGAATATATATATATACATACATATATATATGAAGTAGTGACAAATATAGGAGAGAATCCTGGGCTGGTTAGATTTCCTTGGATTTTAATGGTTTGGGAACCAAGGGAAAGGAGTAGCTTGCCTGTTCCTGAATGAGTATGTGGAGAAAGGTCTCTCCCACATCCCAGGCCTGAAATCCTTTCTCTGCCAACCCCAGGGTTTGGTGGAAAGAGGAGGGCAGGGCTGTGATGAATTATTCAACAACTAGTGATGATGATGATGATGACAATGAATACAATGATGATCATCATGAGCTCTCTCACCTACCCATGAGTATACCTCCTTTCTCCTCTGCTCCTCCAGCCTTGGCCTTCCTGTTCTCAGAGTTGCTCAACCCTCTCAGTTACTGCTCAATGCCAAGTGCCCTGGTGAACAAAGCTGCCTCCAGCTTGCTGCTGCTCTCTCACCCAAGCAGTTTCTGCCCTAATGAGTTTCCAGCTTTCCCTCCCATATTCTTCTCCAACTGCCACTCATTTGCTCTCGCCCAACACATACAGAGAGCTCCTCTCTGTCAGGTGCACCCCAGGCCTGGCAGGCCTGGCATCTCGCCATGTCTAAGAAGTACCAGCCAGCTATAGTTGGGCTCCTTTGAGTCCCACCAGTGGTACAGAGCTGGCTGGTGACCATAGAAAACAGGACGCAAGGCTAGTGGTGACCTGAGCCCCAGACCATGGTGTGGATCTTGACTTCTCTCTCTTCAACTTCGTAAGTGATCTAGTAACAAATCATGGGCTACTATATAATCTACTGAAATATGACCATTTCTGCTTCTACCAAATGAGTCTGCTTCTACCTGTCTGGAAATCAACTGAGTTTCCACTGAAGAAGCAAGCTCTCCTCACTCCTTGGCACACTGCAGCATCCCATCTCCAGTGTCTGGCACATCTCAACTGTCTGGCACAATCTACCTGGGAATTCTGGCCTCAGTCCAGACCTTCACTTGCTCCCCATGAACCACACTGACCTTTGGAGTTAAATGGCTTGCTGGTACCTCAGGCCCTTTGCATTGGCAGATCACTCTGCTTGGATGGCTCTTCCTCTAGACTTCTGCATGGCTCACACTTTCTAATTCTGTGCTTTATTATCATCTTTTTCCTCTCCTCAAATTATACCCTACTCAGTACTTCCTCCTCAGTTTCCTACTGTGCTTCTTGGTCCATTTCTTTTTTCCGTGTGTGTGTGTGTGTGTGTGTGTGTGTGTGTGTGTGTGTGTGTGTGTGTGTGTGTGTGTGTGTGTGTGTGTGTGTATGTGTGTGTGTGTGTGTGTGTGTGTGTGTTCAGGACCTTGAACCCAGGACTTAAATGCTGTCCCTGAGCTTTCTCACTCAAGGCTGGTACTCTACCATCTGAACCACAGCTCTACTTCTGACTAAGTGGAGATAAGAGTCTCACAGACTTTTCTTTTTCAGGCTGGCTTGGCTTCAAACTTTGATCCTCAGACCTCAGTCTTCTGAGTAGCTAGGATTATAGGCATGAGCCACCAGTGCTCAGCTTGCTCCCAGTCCACTTGTGTAACAGTTCTGCCATTGCCTGTGTCTCCCCATTGTACTGCGGCTTCCACCAGAACAGAGATGGCTGTGCTTCATCTGCTTGCGGTCTACAACCTCACAACTGGCTATGTGTTGTCTGGAGACTTAGTCTTCTTGTGGATGGTGGGGTGGCAGACACTGAGACAAAGTCTAGACTTCTCCCTAGAGACCCTGGCTTCAAAGAGAACAAGGACAGCCCGCTGTAGCCTTGTGGGTACCAGTCAGCGCGGACTCTTCATCCTGCTTTGCCCTGGCCCCATGTTCCCATCCCATACTTTTCCCCATCAGAACTTACCATCCACAGGATTGAGGTAGTCGTGGAGATGGGGCGCCCCAGTGGCACCCCCACTCTGCATTAAGAGGTCCCCATAAGGTGCAGGGTGGCCCCCCATGAGGGTCATCTGGTGGTAATAGTCGGAGGGGTTGGTGCCTGGGGCAGGGAGGCCAAACAGCCCCCTCTCCTTAAGGTGCTCGTGGGCCACTGTGGGCAAAGGAGAAAGAAGCTGTCAGAATTTCCTGCCCAAAGAAGCGAAGAGAAATCACACCCAGACTGAAGTCTCTTCTGGGACCCTTCTGCCCACCCCTTGCTGCCCCAGTGTCACCACTGAGCTAGGCCTGAGTTCAACCATTGTGGAGACACATGACTGGTGATGATGGAGACCAGATTCATCCCAGCATTCCTCCACTTCCTGCCCGGCCCCCACTCCCCCCTCCTCCAAGCCTCGAAGAAGCCCAGAGCCCCAGGGCAATAGGATCTGGACTCAATAGCTTTTAAAAGGAAAAGATGTGAGAGGAGGTACCACAGCAACAGCTTTGGGACAGGTCAGTCTCTACCTGGATACCCAGGGCAAGGTGGCCTGTGGGGAGTTTCTGGGTCTGTTCAGAGAAAGCTCTTTGTCTCTCAAACCTACCAGCCGCCCCCCCCCCCGCCCTTGCAGCAAAGAGCCTTGAGACCATGTGCTCACCCTGTAGTCAGTCCTGCCTGCATAGGGCTGAGGAAGGAGATAGCAAGCGTATTTGAGGGCCTGTATTTGGTAGGTGGTGTGTCAGGGAAATTCTGGGAGCTTGGATGTTACAGATATCTGATGAGAGTCCTAGGCTTTACTGAGTGTGTGAAACCAAAGGTGCTCTCTCTGTTTTCCATCTGTAAATGGAGGCACAAATGCTCTCCCTGTGGAATTCCTATTGATCATGACTGTAGTGGCCAAGGTCATGATGAGCACTCAGCACTCACTGGGACCATAACAGGCACACTGAAGGTTTGGTCATTCTCTTTTTTTGGGGGGGGGTTCGGGTCGTGGGGCCTGAACTCTGGGCCTGGGCGCTGTCCCTCAGCTCTTCAGCTCAAGGCTAGC